GTTGGTGTTGATGGAGTTGGTTCGTGTATGCTGGCGGCTGGTGTTAAAAGGTGGGGAAAAATAGCCACGGATCGGGAAGCTCACCTGTAACTACATGCAACTCAAAAAGATAACTACATGTACTTATCCAACAACTAGTTTTAACTCTAGTTATTGTGTGGTTCTTGACACTGTAACAATGTAGTTTTCACATTCTAGATAGCACAGATAAAAAAAAAAGGCAAGAACGCACAGAGACCATACAATCAAGCAACAAAAGATTTATTTTTTTAAAATTCAAGTCTACCTAGCGAGTGGATAAAAGACCTCCGTATACACAACCACCCACCTATCTACATCTATACTCTACTCATCCAGCTCCTGTCCCTGAAACTCCCCATACTTCTCTAGCGCCTCCTCCCACGTCCCATTATCCTCCAAGATGCCCTTCACAACCTCAATCACCTGCTCCTGCGACGCCCTAATCTGCTTCATCCCATCCCTCTCACGCAGCGTGACAGTGCCGTCCTTGACGGTCTGGAAGTCGATGGTGATGCCAAAGGGGGTTCCGAGCTCGTCGTTGCGTGAGTAGCGCTTGCCGATCGAGGTGCTGGAGTTGTCGACGCGGTTCGAGACGCCGGCGCGGCGGATCTTGTGGGAGAGCGCGGTGACGAGCGGCGCAAAGTCTTTGTTGGAGGAGAGGGGCACGATGAGGATCTTGGTGGGCGCGATGCGCGGGGGGAAGGAGAGGACGTCGCGGAGCTCGGAGCCGGGGCGGGTCCAGTAGATGTGCTCGATGAGGGAGTAGAAAATACGGCCAATACCAAATGAGGGCTCAATAACATTGGGGGTGTATTCCCTCACTGTGAGGTCTTTATTAGTCACCCATTATCACTTCAGTTGCGGGAGGTAAGGCTACTTGCCATTCTGGGTGTGCTGGTTCTTCTCAACAGTCACTTTGTCCAGCTCCACCTCGCCGAGGCCGTCGACCTTCACAGTGATCTTACCACCCTCCTTCAGGGTCGCGGCCATCTTCTCCCTCTCTTCCTGGGGAACCTTCTCAATGGCCTCCTCAACCTTCTTCGCATCCTTCTTGAAGCGGGGTCCAAGCCACTTCTTGTCAACAACAATATCCCACTGCTCCCATACCTTGGGAACCTCCAAAGCCTCGCGCACAATCAACGACTGACCAGTCTTCTTTGAGTGGACAGTCAAATCGTACGCGCTACGGTCCGCACAACCAACACACTCAATCCACCCATAACTTGTCAGGAGCTCAGCATCCCAACAGTCGGTGGCATAATGCGCCATCTCGTTCGGCATATGCTGTCTGAATCTGACCTTGTTCTGGTCGATACCGATCTCCTTGAGGAAGAGTTGGATACGAGCCAAGAAGTAACCAAGAGTCTCGTTGTCAACCATTCCCTCCCTGACAGCCTCACCGATAGTCTTCTCGACAATGGTGGTCTGTCCCTGCTCCTGGACGTTGCGGGGGAGGAACTTCAAGCTCACGGAGTCGGCAACCTCGACGAAGCGAGGGTGCTTCTTCTCAGCAGGGTCGACGAAGTGCTCGATCTCTGCCATGAGGAATTCGCGCACACGGAGGAGACCAGAGCGGGGGGAGATCTCGTTACGGAAAGACTTTCCGATGGACGCGGAGGCGAAGGGCATGCGGAGGTTGTTGAATTCGAGAAGCTTGTTGAAGGTAAGGAATTGACCTTGGGCAGTCTCGGGGCGGAGATAACTATAGCATATTAGACATCCGGGGTGCGGAAATAGTAGTCGCAAGAGATCGCATATATTAGGCTGCAGTTCTAATGGGGAGAAACTCACCCAGGCAAGTTGCTGCTGGGACCGATTGAGGTCTGGAACATCAGGTTGAAGGCAACCGGGGGCTCCAGAGCCCCACCGGTAGCAGGGTTGGTGATCTTGTGCTTGATGATGAGTTCACCAAGTTCAGCGCCATCGTAGTTGTCAATCTACCAACGAGTAGTTAGTTTAGTGGTCCCCAATTGGTCAATGTTTCGAAACACAATGTTTCAAAACCAGGTCGAGTGATAGTTGGAGGATCAAGAATATAAAAATTATAAAAAATCTCAAATCCGTAATAGATGGGTGTAACTTTAAGAGATTCCGTAATACGATATATGAATTGAGCCATATGAACAGTACACTAACCTTGGCAAGAGTCTCTTCGTACTCCTTCCTGACCTCATCGGTCAACTTGACGACCTGGATGTCCTTAACCTTCTTCTTCCTCTTCTTCTTATCCGCATCCTCCTCTTCAACCGCAACCTTCTCACCCCTCGCCTCCTTATCACCCTTCAATCTCGCCTCAAGGACCTCCTCAACCAGATGATCCGCCCTAAAGATCTCCCCGCTCTTTGGGTCCTTGCACATCCAGTCCGCAAACTTGTCCACATGGCCCGACGTCTTGAGCACCTCATGGGGGGTCAACATGGTGCAGTCAACCTCCAGCATGTCCTCCTCAAGGACAAAGTGCTTCCTCCACGTATCCACGATGCTCTGCTGCAGCGCGCACCCGGGCGGGCCGTAGTCGTACAGCCCCGACACACCGCCGTACATCTCGAACGACGGCGTGTAGAAGAGCCTGCGGCGCAGGAGCGTGTCCAGGGTGCCGCGGTCGAGCGGGGCGCCGGTCTTTGTGGTGGCCATTTTTTGCGGCGTGCGGAGAGCTTTCAGGAATGCCTTTTTTGAGAACTGGGGGGCAGGGTTGGGGGTGGTGGTGGTGGTGGTGGTGGTAGCACTTGGTAGTACTGGGAGGGCTGAGTGGAGGGAGTGAGCTGATTGGAAGGAGTGTTGGTGGTGGAGGTGGTGGTGGTGGGAGCGGATAGCCTTGAGCGCGGTGGAGGATAGTGAGAGCGGTGATGGGAGGATCAGGAGTGGTGTTTGTGTGATGGTGGTTGTGGTGGTTGTGAGTGTGCGTGTGCAGATGGAGCGCTGCAGGCCGAAAAAGCGGGGGAGGGGCATCTATCTGGCTGGCTGGCAACAACGGTGTTGACTCAGAAGAAGCAACAAAATTAATCGAAGAGCCGCAAATTAAACAACCGACGTGCGAGACAGACGCAGTCAGTCAGTCAGAGGCTAAAGGGTTTTTTCCTTGACCGGCTGGCTGGCTGGCTGGTGGGGCACTCACTCGCTTCTTACTCACTCGCAATAATCCTGATATTGCATACGGTCTAATCTGTCTGTCTGTCTGTCTGTCTGTCTGTCCAGGGTGGGATGGGATGTGGATGTGGATGTGGATGTGGAGGGGGGGAGGGAAAAAAAAACAAGGGTCCACCACATTCCTTTGTCTGCATTGCATCCATAGTGGCATTTTGATATCTGCAAAAAAAAAAAAAAAAAAAAAAACAAACCCGTTCCCTCTCCAGACGCCGTTTCTTGAAACACCATACATAAGAAAGGCTGTCACGAGCCTGCCCCCAGTTGTGCAGGTAAAACTACATTCAGCTACACACTGTGTCGGCGTTGGTAATAGGAGACCAGAGTATTGTACCCCGCTTGCTGCTGGCTGCTGGTAGGCCCAGATCATCAATCCCACACTCACTCACTCGCTCACTCACTCTACAGATAATAATACCCCATGCGCCAGACCGATTCCAGTATCCCGAGCTCTCATATACACGAAACAAGCCCCCCCGGAGGCCGATAACTGCGTTCGCGGGCCCGGGAGAGCCGCCCAACTTACTCTATTTTATTAAATATATATAGCAGTGTCTCTTCGGTTGGTTCCAGTACCTGTGCCCAGGACCAAACATTTGGGGAGAGAACAAGTGGGCGTGGTTCAATAATCTAGGTAGATAAAGCCTCCAGGAACGATATGAGAGATATAATAGGTAATTCGAAGTTACTTGGTCCACTGTGGTACATAGTGCCCGTATCCCAAGATCGACCAAAGTGCAAACCCTACTCCCCAAGGCTTCGGGGAACAGCCGCTGGGCAGTGCGGTTCCTACATAAATTAGAGCGATGGACAAGATGGAGCCTGAGGGGAAAGCAAGTGAGGTGGAGGAGGAGGCTAGCTTGGCCAACAAACAAAACGGGGATCCATTTGTTAGAATTGATTGCCAAGGCTCGCTATCCCCTCCATGGCCCCAGAGCAGCCAACCACCGCACATCACGTATTGGATCAGGAAAGTAAAACCACTAAACGGGCGTTCACAAGTGATCACTCGAGCTCAATATATTCTCACCCCACTCCCTTTTGCCCCACCCACTCGCCTACCCCTAGCACGCCTCCCGCCAGGAAAGGTAAAAGAATAACCACAAGCTAGTAGTATGCTTACACAAGAATGGGTAAAAATAGCCTCGAGTTAAAGAAACATCCGCAAAGTTTGAAATTCCCACTTTGCAAGAAGTAATAATCATCAGACATTATAGAAAAAGAAAAGAGAAAAAAAGGGGGGGAAAAATTATCATCCGCTTTTCCCCATTGTGAAGCGACCACCCAAAAGATCAAACACCCGCGGGCATCATCAGGAAAGAAAAAAAGAAAAGAAAAGTAAAAGGATTCCAAAATCAACAAAACAAAACAGGAAACCCACAAAGGAGCTCCGACTCCTACTCCCAAACGCAGCACGCCTCCCAAAATCAACATCCGAGCCTCAAAACCAGAAATAAAAAGAGAAGAAAAAGAGGACAAGAAAGAATGCTCCTTTTATTTTTCTCGTCCCATTTCATAGCCTTGTTCGTTCGTGAATTATCTTCATCCCGACATGACAATTCGTGCTGCTCATGTCTGAACAAAAAAGAAAAAAAAATATGGAAAAAAAAGTGGAATTGGAAAGAAAAAAAATACGAAGATGAAAGAAATGGGTCATAATGCACTTGCTCCAAAAAAACAGAACAACCAACTAACTCGCCAGCCAAATATCCTACAGGATATAAAAAGAAGGGTGTAAAAAAGTACGAGAAACCGCGTCCGAATAGAATAACACCTTTCATTACAAAAATCAAGCAATATTATAAGACTCGGGAATAGCAACATTATTTAGTCTCCTACAACGCTGTGCCAGGTGGTGACATGGGGCCAGGAGACATAGGACTGCTGAGCATTCCCTCGGACATGCGCCCATCGGGCGGTCCCTGCGGCATAATTCCTTGTAGCAAAAGTGGCTCACCAGGGCGTATTGCCTGTGGTCGTCGCCGCGCCTGAATTTGAGTTTCAGGTTCAATCGATTCCCCAGGAACAGGTGCATACAAGGGCAATTCAGAAACTTCGGTTTGATGGATTGAACCCTCCTGATGCTGAGTCGATGATTCCCCGTGATGTGCCGAGGTCTCCCTTTGGTGCAATGTAGTTTCCCTTTGATTGCCCGAAATATCTCTATGCTGTTGCATCTGAGGATCTCTTGGGATAGAAGCCTCCCTACTTTGGATATCCTTTGGACTCACCAACGCCTCCCTCGAATGCATCTGACTTAATTGCGTCTGAATATCCCTTGGGCCCGAAATATCCCTACCTTGCATCTCCCTTGGACCAATTAGGGCTTCCCTTAACTGCGTATGAATATCCCTCGGACCTGATACCTCTCTCTTATGAATATCCCTCGGGCCCGCTGGAACCTCTCTTTGGTGCATATGACCGTCCCTTGAATTGGAAGCCTCTCTTTGGTGCATGTGACCGTCCCTATGGTTCCTTGGGAGATCTCTCTGGTGCGTTTGGCTGTCCCTTCGATCTGCCGAAACTTCTCTCTGGCGCGTAAGACCTCCTCCCTGATTTGGCGTAAGCTCTCTTGGGTGTGTCTGACTTCCACCCCTACTTAACGGAAGATCCCTTTGATGAGTCTGGCTTTCCCTAGAAACCTCTCTCGAGCGCACCTGTCCTTGGTTGTCTCTTGGGTGTGCTACAGGTTCCCTTTGGGCGATTTGACCTTCCTTATGCTGTGCGCGAAGTTCTCTTTGATACTGCTGTGCCTGAGTTTCCCTATAAAGAGGCTGGCTCTCTCTCATGCGTGCTCTTTCCTCCGAAGTGCGCGGTGTACTCATTGGAGATGGGCGTACCGAAGCGGGACCGTGAGCTGGAACCGCTGGGGCAGATGGTTGCATAGGGCCATGCATTGGAGCATTTCGGTGGTGTGGCTGTTGTGATTGCCGGTCCCGACGGAAAATTCCATTGCCTTCCCTATCACGAGGCGACTCTAGAATATGTTCTTGAGTTGGCTGTGTGGGAAGTGATACACTAGAGGGTGTTGGTGGTTGTACTCGCGGAGAACCTGGTAGCGGCATTGTCATTTTTGGTAGATTGTCCATCGAAAGATGCATATCGTCCCTTCCATGTGGGCGTCCATGCTCTTTTTGCTCTCGCTCTCTATCACATTGTTGCTGATGTTGCCTCCGCTCATTCAACTTTTGAGAGAGCCACCCCAGAGCACTTCGTCTTTCCTCACTGTCGCTCATGCCTGACGTTTCGCCACTAACACTCCTAGTCCGGTGTGGGGGGCTCCGAGATGTTCCTCTTATCCTCTCAGCTAGGCTTGCTGTAGAGTTATGACCATGACTATGACCGTTGCCAAATGTTGGACTTGTAGGTGCGAGGTCCATCTTTTGCCCAGATAACCTCCATCTTGACCGCCTCTTCTTCTCGGGAGAGTTTGGGGGGTTTGCAGTGTCTGAAAATTCATGAGAACTACTCTGGCTGGCAACGCTGGAGGTAGTTGAAGGGGTTGGCGACATTGCCGGCATCAGAGTTGCCGACGAAGCTGCTGAATGAGGAGCATTGCCCTGCTGCGAAACACCGAAAAAGCTCAACATGGACGTAGTTGGAGCTGTATGAGGCTGTTGTGAGGCCTGTATAAGCGTGTCTCCACCTATAGATGAATGTGACGTCGGAGGAGGCCCGTGACCATTTTGAATGGATGGATTACTGGCGTTAGCCTCGACTCCCAAGTTAGTTGTTGAAGAATCAGCTGAATGAGTGGTGCTGCCAGGTCTCTGTTTCCTCAACTTATTGCCAGTCCTTTGGTGTGGCTCCGGCGACAATCCTGCAAAAAAACTTGCAGCAAAATTACGCTCTTTGGTTGGGGTAGTCACAGTTCGCTGCTGCGCTGGCGGGACTTCTGTGTTCACTGGAGGAGGGGGGGATGTTCTCGGAGGTGCTGCCATGGGTTTTACAGTCTTGGAACTATCATCGGAGGAGGTTGTTACCGGAGTAGCATTATCACGCGCTCGCCCTCCGACAGAGGGAGATCTCGAGATGGAGTTTTTATCCATGGCCAAACCCCCACGGGGCGAGCCTGGAGTTGAGTTATTCTCCCCTCTAAAGGTTACCGGTGACGCATTGGGCGACCTCTTTGAAGGAAGTGTATTACTCCTGCTTAACCCTCCACTATTGTTTGAAACGATTGGACCGCCGACAATAGACCTCTTAGATGTAACAGAAACGTTTCTTCGGAGGTTGCCATATTTCCTAACGTCATCTGCCCCAGCACTCGAGTTTGACGGAGATCTACTAAGCACAGTCTTTGCGCGCCGTGGAGACGCCGGTGCTGCCGGGGCAACGGGCACACTGAGGTTATCTACCGCTTCGGTTTCGGGATTCCCTCGCATTCCCAGCAAAAAGTGATCCTGATTGGTAATAAGGAACACTAGTACATCCTGAGATAACTTGTAGTCATTGGGTGACATGTCATGTGTTGGGTGATTTATTAATCCCGGTTGAAAGATAGCCGCCAAGTTGCTTGCGGTCATCAAATTTTGTTCAGCTTTAGAGGCAAAAACAGCCAAAAGATCCAGGATGTAGAGAAGTAGCTGTCTATTAAGTGCAGGAAGCTTGCCGATGAGATCTTGGTAGGCACGGATAGCTGCAAGGGCGTCGAAATCTTCCTGCGCACACTGTAGTGGTTCACGAAACCGGGCATAAAAATCCAGTGGAATAATCGGCTCGGGTAATTGATTAAGATATCGACGAAAAATATTCGCCGCATCATGGACGGTATAACCAGCCCAGTCCAGTCCCTTACCGTACTTGTCCGGAGAATTAAAAATGGTTTGCAGGTCCTTTATCCGCTTTGCAGACCCACTTAGTCGAAAGATTCCCTCAACGTTGGTAGCTGTTTACAGGGGCTAGAATCAGAATATTGTGGGAGACCAAGTCTAAACCTCTAGCTGGAGGACTCACCTTTTTCTTTGAGGAAAACACCGCATTTGGCGACCACAATTGGGACATAACCATATATAAATTGCTCGCCGTTTCCGTCCGTTAACGAAATCGCAACATTGGCGTATTTGATACTTTTACTTAAGGGCACTCCAAATATACCCGGTGTGTGGTCTAAGGCAAAAGTGAGCTACAGGGTCTCTTAGGGCAGCGGGGGGAGCTTCCTAATGAAACTCTGTAGAAATGCAGGTTGGGGAAGGGGGGGGGGGGTTATGATTGGGGAAGAGGTCATAGCACTGTACCCTTATCCCCGCCTTCTTTTGGAGCTGCAGGCTTCTTTTTAAACTTTTCCCACCAAGTTGTTAACGATACTTTTGCTGACGGCGGTGAGGATCCATAGTTCACCACAGCTGGATGTGGTGGTGGTTGGTCAACTCCAGGTGGAACTGGCGCGTATTTCAATGCAGGATGGGGAGCTGTAGGTAATGATGCCATTTTCTTCGTGACTTGACGAGCCGAAGCGAAAGCCCTCTTTCCCGAGGATTTCGCTTGAGTTGAACTAGTGCGCTCGTTCCTGGGTGTACTAAGGATCTGTATAATAATATTTCGGGCCGAGAAATTTTTACGACGGAAGATTTAGATTTGGCCTTTTAGTCGTCTTGCTTTTAATCCCCTTTCTTTCTCAATCTCTTCCTATCGAGACCAAACTCGGTGAAAAGAAATGGAGAAAAAAGGTATTTAAATGAGAGAGAAATTCCCTGTGTAGTGATTGAATGTATGGGAATGCGTCCAGCACGGTAAACGGCAGCTGGAATGGAACGGTATCTGGAGACGAAGTGTGGTAACAAACAGGCAGGATCAAGCGTGATGGGTTGATAATGTTCGAGCGATAAAATGTACTAGAGCAGTGTGAACGACGTCGATCCTGTGGGGTAGATATGTATGGTAAGTTATATGTGCTATGCAGGCATGTAGATTTACTTGATATGTGACTCGGAGCGGTAACAGCCAGTCGAGTGAGGGGAGACAGAAGGATGATGGGATGGAATGGAATGAAGATGGAGGAATGAGTTTTTTTATTTGAAGGGGAGTAACGTACCAGTACTGAACAGTACAGAATTAACAGAGTACAGAGTGAGAGGACTTGTAGAGTTTTGTGGGAGGTGTTTAAGGTTTGGGGGTTATAGAGGATAGGATAGATGGGCAGTGATCTGAGGTAGGAATAGAACAGACTGTCAGTCAATCATTCAATCAAATCAATCAGCAAGTGAATGACTCTGTAAAGTGTAAACTTCTTCGTTCAAGTCTTCTGTCTCGCTCGGAGACACGGCTGAACAAGACAAAACGTTAAATGGGGAAAGTAGTGCGGCGGAGATATATTGCTCTCGGTCGGAGCTGCCTGGGTGGTATCGTGCCTGGTCCTGCACTGACTGGCGGCGCGGGGGGGGGGGGGGGGTGAGAGGAGGGGGGGAAAGTGTGGGACCAACTTCTTAAGGGAATGAAAGGAATGGGCTGGGAAACATGCAGTACATACCAAATGACTGTAGACAACTCTACGAGTTTAGTGCAGTGCAGTGCAGAGTAGTAGAAAGATGCGAACACACCAGACAGGAACATACACACAACAGCAAGCAAGCAAGCAAGACAAGGGATGATGCTGAAATGCTGGGGAAGGATAGTTCAACGTTCAACGACAGGTCAGGACAGACGACTCAACCCCCAGGAAAGGAGCAGCAGGACTACTCTAGGTGTAGGAGCACAGCAGCAGTAGGCAGCGGCGCTCCACTCAGGGCTGAGCGCGCTCGGGAGCAGAAACAAGACTTGTCCCTCTTTTTTTGTGGGGCTAGGCTGAGGAGGCACGCCGAGGCCCTAACTTTAGTGATGATCTGAGTCCCGACTGGCTGAACAGAGGCACGGTCTTGCTGACTGATGCGAACGTTAGTTTGTGCGACGGGGGATGAGGATGAGGGAGAGAGAGAGAGGGTCCTGGCGGCCAGAACAGTCCCTCCGATGCGTGGAAAGATGGGGAAGTCGGTGATCTAGATGATGATCGGTCTTTAGGTCAGGGAACTGGGGGAAGATAGCAGCAATAGCAACACAAACAACCTCAACCTGGTCATGAATATGGAATCCTCACTGTGGTTGGTGTTGTGTTGCGTGTCCGCGTGCAGTGCAGTGAGTGTTGAAAGGCAGGGGGATAGAAAGACGCCAAGAACACTGGTAGAGGTAGTAAATGATCCTTCTTACTTGCCCCAATAGTAATAATAATAGCAGCTCTAGTAACGGTCCCTGCTTTTGAAGAACTCACTCGCTTCGCCTATTTTGGGTCGAGCATTTCCTGCCACCCCCCCAGACAGACATGGTTGATCACAACTCGCAGGGCATGGACTTGAACTTCCCTTACCCTAGTCGCTTCCCGTTCACCTCACCATAAAACTTGGACTTCCAGTTGGTACGTATGGAGGTACATGTGGGTTAGTTAGTATTAGAATAGAGTAATCGTACATACGTGCTGGGATGTACACACATCTACATGCACATAATTCCAGTGTTGCTCTGCATACCCATGTAACATGTTCGACATAATCTGCTTAGACACTGTATGTACTCTGCTCTCCCTATGGCTCTTCGGCGCTCCTCTAGTAGCACTCGGATCAGATCTTCGTGGGCCTTCCCCAAAGCAGGGTAAGCGACACAAACTCCGTAATCTGATCCGCGTGTCTTGCCACGATCAATCAGTTTCCAAGGATTCCTTCCAGAAACTCGGAGGTCGAAAATCGCAAGGAAAAATTATTCCGGTTTTTTTGTGCGTTTTTATCCCACCCTCGGCCCTTCGCAACCAGCTCGTCATCTCGCCTACATACGTTCGGTTCAAGCTACTAGACATACATACAGAGAGACTCATCCATCAATTGTTCGCGATTTGAACACACCACCCACCACTCCCAACCCACAGAAAGCAAGCATACGCAATGGATTCGTGAGTTCCCACACTTACTGATCTGTCTTGCCTCCGCCCCAGATCAAGTCGTTGTCACTGGGCTCTTCCACCCTCCGAAAGCGTTCTTTCTAACAAGCCCCGCCACCATAGCCTCTCTGCCTCCGAACAACGTGAGTTCCAAAATGTCATCGAGAGACGACAGATGAAAGACTTTATGCAGGTATGTCCGAAACCCCCAATAGTGTTTCATGGCATTAGGCCTTAGCATATTCTTTATTCCTTTGTTCCGTCATCACCATTTGTTAAAATTAGGCCTAATGCACTTTCCCCCCTCCCACCCAACTTCCACTCCCGTGCCCTGGCTCAGATTGAATTTTGATTATTACACGTCTTGCTAACTCCCGGGTTTCGTTTCTGTTTATAGATGTACTCGAAGCTTGTTCAACGGTTTTTACTCCCCGAACCTTGCTTTCTACAAACACAACTATCACCGCCGAAGCGGCGTGGGGGGCGCAGGGCAGTGTGATTATTTATGGACGGTAATAGAATCTGACGTTATTGGGTTATACAGATGCTTCGATGACTGCGTTAACGACTTTACATCAAAAGCCGTTTCTTCGAAGGAGGAGACCTGCATCGGCCGATGCGTTGATAAGTTCATCAAGGCCAGCGAGAGGACAGGACAGCGCTTTGCCGAGCAGAACCAGGCAATGGTCCAGGGCGGTGGGCCCGGCATTGGTGGTAGATAGGGCTTGGACTATATGGTTTCCATGCCGGATTACACTGGAATTTAATGTCACTTCAAGAAAGAAGGGGAAAAATGACTATCAAACGTTATCGAGTTCTCGCATCCCTTGGATACGACCATGTAGGACTATGGGAAGGCCTGTTCAGATATGGCGCCCTTAGGAGAGCGGGTAGATCATGAGTTGTGCCGGCATGAATAACCACCGGCGGCATAAAATGGTAATCCGTGTGGGAAATCCCCCGGGAAACTAGTAAACTCGGTAAGGCCGGCAATCATCCACAGCCCCGCCGCGGCCTTCTCCACGAGTGCGAAAAGTGTCACGACAAAACACAGGCCACCTGTAAACTCGAACGGCAGGAAACTAGTGAAATATGTTGCTGGATAAATGTAGTCATAAACACCACGGCCGGCGGAGGAAACCGCCCAATGTAATGGCGCAGAGTGCGACATTTATTATTTACAGATCTATCTAGATCTCGAGCAAAGAGGGGCAAAAGGAAACATTCCCAGAGCTCTGGCTCCATACACGTAGGCCCCACGCACGTGCCATATTGGATACCGACTCCATGTTACTACTGGCCATGGTAGTATGAGTGTGGTCTGTGTGTATGATCTCTGGATCGAATCGCAGCTTTTTTCAAACAAATCCAATCAAACATCAGTTCCCTGATTCAACCTCTCTGCGTTCAAACCCCTCCTTGTCCCGTGCCTTGCCAATCCCGCAGAAGTGGTGGGTGGTGGTGATGTGACGCCATCAAATATCTGCTGTTTCGGACCCCATCAGAGAGAGGGACGCAATTTGAGGTTGTGGGTTTTCTTTTATGGGTATGGATGGTAGCTTGTCAAAGTGTTACTGGACCACCATAACGATAAGCTACATACAGTACCGTAGTAATAACTGTGACAGCTATCGGGATTGCCTTTTTCTGCAGGACTCTCTCCTCGGCCTCCCCATTCAGAGCACAAAACTCGACTCCTCACATGGAAGCAGGTACCGTACAACAAAGAGCTGTCAAATTGCGATAGGGTATGAGATCAGATCATCTCGATCCCATCGCAAGGAAAGAGTGACGGACGTTAGTGAGCCATGAACGAACCGTGGATGGATCCATGGAACCTTGATCCCTCGACAGCCAGCAGGCGAGCAGGCGAGCAGGCGGCCAGCTGCGGTCCACTGTTAGTGTAGACTCTTTCTTTTTCGCTCACTTCTTTTTATGGCGCACCTCGTCGTTCCGTGCGGGAAAAAACAACACCGACGACGAAGAGTGAGGAGTAGCTTGCTGAGCGATCAGGAGGAGTACCTACCTAAATGTGTGTACCTACATGTACATCTGTAGTGAGTGAGCGTGCATGAGCGAGCGAGTGATAACCACCCCACCTATAGACAGCACTTTGATAAACCAGACAGTCCCTTAAAACTCACCGACCGCCGTAGCTTATCGTATCTATCTTTTTTTTTTTTTTTCTTTCCTTCGCTCCCTCCTGCAAACTTGCCCTGCCTGATCTACCCCGCAAACGAAGCTCTAGATCTTTCTTCCCCCCGCCTCGACTCGTCCTCTTTCTCTCTCCCCTTCCCTCTTTTCTTTTCCCATTAATATCGAGGCAACAAATCATTGTTTTTTGTTTTTTGTTTTCTTTGAAACCGTGTTTATTCTGAAACCCGTTTTCTTCTATATCTGATCTTCTATACATTGTTTTATTTATCTATTTTTCTATATTTTTTTTTCTTAACAGCCTTAACAACCGCTCTCTTCGCCCTTGGTCTACTACTACCACTGCTGCTACTGCTACTGCTACTGCTACTGCTACTGCTACTGTTACTGATACTACTGATCGATACTGATACTGCTCTGATACATCCACTTCTATAATGGCCACAGCGACTGTAGCGATCCTCTCCCCAGGAGAGATGGGTGCTGGTATTGCCCGTCTGCTGCGGGCCTACAACTTCCGCATAATAACGAGCAATTCCGGTCGTAGGTAGTAAAAGAAACCCCTCTCTGAATCTCTCTCCGTCTCTCTCTCTGCTTCTCTCTCTTCGATCCTCTCTTCCTCTTCCTCCCCCGCTTTTATCTGCTTATCCCCCACATCTCCCCCTGCCCCTCTTCACCCCTCATCCCCCTCATGCGCTGTTACAATTAAATAAACCAGAACCAAATAACCCATTGAATAACATGATAGACCCAGTGCCACAGCTTATGAGTAAATTCTTCTTCTTTGCTTGTTCTGCCTGCTTGTCCAGTGATAGTCTGGTTAACCATTGTCCCTCTTTCCCTTTTTCCCCTGCCGCAGTTCCTACACGACCGACCGCGCCGCCGCCTGCCACATCGAATTTGTTTCCTCGGACGTAGACCTAATCAACCAGGCCGATATTATCCTGTCTGTTGTGCCACCCTCCGAGTCTCTGCCCACCGCCCGGCGAGTGGGCTACGCATACACCTATGTTGCGCGGGGCAACAAGCCGCCGCTCTACTTTATCGACCTGAATGCCACCTCGCCGGGGCTCGCCGAGCGCATCGAGGAGGTGTTTGCGCGGCCCGGCATCGGCGGTACCGGCGTCAGGTTTGTGGACGGCGCGATACTGGGCGGCCCGCCAGAGTTTGTGCAGACGCCGGAGAACCCGGGGGGCGCGTGGAGGAAGCCGAGGATTGTGGTGAGTGGGCCCGAGAGATTGGTGGGCGAGGCCGGGCAGAGGTTGGAGGAGGCGCTGGGGCTGAAGTGGGTGGGGGACCGGGTGGGGCAGGCGAGTGGGCTGAAGATGTGTTTTGCGTCGTTGACAAAGGTTTGTATTACTTCTTTTACGATTACTATTGCTATAATTGCTGTCACTGTATTACTGCTACCAGAGCGGATAATATTAGGATTGTTATGGGGGAAATTGATGGATGGCTCTTTTGCTTTTTTATACCTCCAATTTGCTATCGTTCCCCGGGCCCTCCCCCTTTCTTTACAATCACATACTCTCACTCAGTTATGCATCACACAAAATCACCCATCCTTAGCAACCCCAAATTAAATAACCCGCAGTTTCTAACATCTCCCCCTTAGGGTCTCAATGGTCTCGCCATCCAATCCTTCACCACCGCCGCCAACCTCTCCCTCCTCCCCGAGCTCAAAGAAGAAATCTCCGCCTACTTCCCCCCGCTGCTCGACTTCCTCGAAAAGTCCGTCCCTGCCACGCCGCCTAAGGCCTACCGCTGCGTGCGCGAGATGGAGGAGATTGCCGACACGCACTCGCAGACCGGCTTCTCCCGCGCGGTGTTTTCCGGGATCGCAGAGGTGTACCGTGGCGTTGCGCAGGATGACGAGCTGGGCAAGGAGCGCTTCGACAGGAGGAGCAGGGGCACGACGGTCGAGGACTTTGCCGAGTGCATTAGAGAGGGCCTGAGTAGGAAGGAGGAGGAAAATAATAGGGCGAATGCGGCGGCGGCGGGGAAGGAGTGGATGCAACAGCCGCCGGGGAGGGCGGTGGAGAGGATGTTGGTGGATTGATCATTGGTAGGGTAGGACTGGGCAAGGGCTGGGCGGGGCCGGGGTCAAATTGTGTGGCTTGAGATGTGATGAACCAAGAGTTTGAGGTTTGATGATGTGGGAAATGAGGTGATTTGCATTTGGGAGTTGCATTTCTTTTTTTATTGCTTTCTTTTGCTTTTCTTGTGCAGGCTTGCGGATGGGTTGGAGGTTGTTTGTTGTTGAGCTAGGGTGTGGGTGTTTTTTTTGCATTTATTATTTCCACCTTTCATTTTATTGCGCGTCTCCAAATATTTTTTGTAAAATTTGTATCACAGTAAATATTCCCACTGGCCCGTGCGTGCGTAGTACAGTCGCAACTCGCTATGCCGGAACTCAATATGTCGGATCCCTTGCTATCCCGGATGGATTTGGCTGATACCCTCATTCCTCACCAAAATTAATTTGCTATCCCGGATTTTGGCCTTCTCGTACCGTATGGGAAACTGGCCAACTCTCTGACCCCTGTCCCCATACAAATAATATTTGCTATCCCGGATCCACTAGTCCATACACAGCTAGATTTTCCCATTCACTGAAGGTCGAATTCTGAGGTTTTGAACACTTTTCCTCCTTCAAAATTGAACACTTTTCCCTTCAAAATTGAAGCGGAGAAAACTCTATCAGACATCAAGTACTGCTAGCACTTGATACTATTAGAAGCTGAGCTTTTGAAGCAAAAAAAATGGTTCAGAGGTGATAATGGAGTAAATCTAGGGTTAGGTTTGTTTGTTGAGGGTTTATTTGCTGTCCCGGATGATTTGCTATCCCGTACGAAATGGGCTGAATCTTGGCCATCCGGCATAGCGAGTTGCGACTGTAGTCGATACCGTAAGATTCACTATGTAACGGAGCCTTCTTTGATTGATTGGCCAACAACGGTACCAATCAGTACCTACAGCTTAAGTACCGTTACCTCTACATGCAAAAACACAAGTCCCGCCCACCAGCACTTTCGAAAAGCATATCACACCATATTACCCCGGTTCTCTATTTTTACACACCACCACCAAGGCTTTAAAGTGTAACCACGCAGATCATGCACCCTTCGCACTGCGCACAGTCATCAAGCAGGAACCCGCGCGAAGAGGTTGAGTTATGCGTCAGTTAGCGAATGTGGTACGGCATATTGGATACAGTCATCGCCGGTGCGCGGTCGAGTGATGGACCATGATACGGAGTTGATTTTGGTAAATTGTGTTGGTACGGTATAACACTGAGTTTTGGAGCTGAGGGCTGCCCGACCTTTGGGTCTGGGAGTGTTGGAGGTTTCTGGCGCGATCTTTGAGTTCTCCCGGAGCTTTCGTGGGGCTGTTTGTTTGGGGGGGGGGGGGGTGAAACTTAGAGTGGTAAAGTTTGTTTTTCAATGCTCGTCGGGTTGGAATTGGTGATTTGTGTGTGAGGATGACGGTGCTACATACATGTACGTAGTCTAAGCAATATACATTAGCTCTAAAGTTCCCATGGATACCCTAATCTTGAAATGCACTCAAGACACTCCCCAAAAAGCCTAGACCTAGAGTTACCTATCGCGGTAGTTTCGGTTTTGATGATCGATGGTTCCATCGTGAGAAATGATTATTCGTTTCAGTAGAGATAAAGATAAATTCTCTGAAGAAATATGTCGGGGAACGGCCTCGGCCACGTATGTATTGGCTGTAGACACCCCGTCAGCTGCAGGATAAGTCGTTATATGATATCAATAAATCACCTGTTGGACCCGCAAGTGGTGTGAAACGTACGAGTTCTTCCTCCTCCGCGGCCGTGTTATCGCAATACACCCTTCCGTTAAATCCAGTGCTTTATATAACACAAAAGTGCCGTAACGTAGCTTTATTGACAAATATGATCCATCATGCTCATGAACCATCACTCGGACATATCTTAGCGTTTCTGCCAGTCCTATTTCAATTGCAACCACACGGCAAAAGAAAAGTGGAAATTTCGTGAAGATTCTCTTCATCTTTTCTCTGCAGTGCGTATCTAGTTTAGGTGAAATTATACGTAATATCCTAGACTCCAACCGCTGTAGCTGTTTCCGGGTGTTGAATACGAGTGAACCGTATGATGAGCTTTTCTAGTGATACGTGTTGTGAGGTGATGTTGAGGCTGATTGATGGGTAATGCCGGGCCCGCGCTGTAGGCGTTGTGCGGGCTGAGCCGGTGATCGGCTACATGTGGTATTTACTATATCACGAGTGCACTGAGCTGCATGTTGCTATTGGTTACTCCTAGCCTGCTACTTCACTAAATGTAAAATGTAGTTTTGAAAGTTTTTGGTCCGTTTGCTTTGAGTTCATGGGTGTTGGACATCGTGGACTTCGTGGTTTCGTGCCCAAACTGGTTTACTGCAGGCAGACCTAGGAGCATTTATTTACATCACAGCAGTTATCATATCATAAACACCACTGTACATATTTAGTGGAATCTCCTCAACTTTGTGATCTTAGCTCAATTGCTGTGGAATATTTCAATGCCCAACCTTCGATCGTGGGTGACAGCTCATGATGGAGCGTGACTGAGTGATTCACCATGATTGGCTCAGCTATCTTTCTCCGATCTCCGTTGAGTAAGTCACGTGCAACGACACATCCTAGCAGTTTTTGGATATATGTGCGTGATTTTCTGTTTCGATAGGAGGTATATGATGGATACATCATGTATCATTGGAGCTCTCCCCCACTGTCCCTATCGTGATCGGGGTCATCTTCCTCCAGACCCCGGCTCCTTTCCAATCCCCACTGAGATCCCCCTCCTGCCCACTCACATCCTCTCTCCAACTCATTGGCGCCTTCACATCCTCTTTCCATGGTATCCTGATATCCCCGATCCGTATCACCCCCAACCCCTCCATACTGCGTTCCACCCTCCCCGTCAATATCGCATACTCCGCCACGACCTCTCTATACCTCAGCGAATCCCCACTCCACCGATACCCCTCCCTCCCTAAATTCAGCTCCAAATCCTGCCCCCCCATCAACGTGATCCCCAGCTCCCGCAGCACCGGCAAGCGGGACACAAACCCCAAGAAATTATCAAACCGATGAAAACTCGGCCACGCCGCCGAATACACCACCTTCGTCAGGTTCGGGAAGATCGTCGGCTTCATGAGCGCCACCCCCGGGCACTGCGTCTGGCTGTGGTGGAAGTACGCCCCGTCGCTCTTATACATTAGGCGGAAGCAGCCGTCGTCCACCACCAGCAGGCGCACGGGACACACGCGCAGCAGCAGCATCTTGAGCTCGTTGTTGTCATCCAGAAGGCTCACCTTCAGCGCCTGCAGCGTGTCGAGGTGGTAGCTCCACTTTGCGCACTTCTCGCGGACGGAGGTCGCGAGGCGCGGCTGCGAGAGCGTTAGGGACGAGGTGCGCAGCTCCCAGAGGAGCTTTTTGAGTTCAAGGCCGTTCTTGGTCTCGTTCCAGTCGTGCCCAAAGTTGATGGTCACGTGGGTGATGGTGGGCTGGAGCTGGTGGGTGCGCACGAAGTCGCGTAGGTGGGTGACGGTGGAGGTGGAGGTACCGGGTTCTAGCTTGAGGCGGATGGAGGCGAAGAGGGGGTGGAAGCAGATGGAGTGCAGGCGGTGGCAGGTGAGGCTGAGGTTCTTGAGCGTGGGGAAGTCGGAGTCGGGATTGAGGTCGCCGAGGGGGAGATGTAGTCGACGATTTGGACTAGGAGCTCTGTGGCTAGGGAATCAAGAGAGATCATTTTCGAGGTGGGGAGATAAAATGATATCGATATCTTGCACTATAGGCTGTGTGGAGGCCAAATATATATCGGGTGGGTATTGGGTGTAGGTTCCATAAAGCCCTGTTAACGTCGGAGATCTACTTTACGGGATTGTAGAGCACAGGATTGAAGTTTGGATATTGGTTGAGCTTGCCGTCGTGGTCGAATCACGACATGATCGCATGTCGTCAACCGGTAATTATTGCAGATCGGCAGCAGGGTTAGGGTTCAGTCGGATTTTTAGGGATAAGTGCCGGTACCTATTATCATGAGTATTATCGTATTGGTTCAGCAGCAGCACTGAGAGAATTAGACATTTAATATCAAGGGCTAGGCTATATCATGGTATCATTTTGGTAGCTTTGTTTACTACATCATGCAGTGTCGCCGAATATCTGGATAACTGCCCTGGTTTGAACAGTGGATCAAATCATTTTAGGACAAAGAAGTACCACCGCCGAGTTCAAAGTGTAAGGACATGTCTACATGCGCCTGGTTTAGAGAATAAGCCTTTGTTAATTACCCGCAAGCACCCTTAAATTACAACAAAATACGTTCCGTTGTCAAAACGCCAGAAAGATAAGAAACGCCTCGCTGAACTCCCAATGGCATACATGATTGACTGAAGCACCGACGGAAACCTATATCATCCGGTATATATTCTTCACTGCATATCACAAATAATACGTTAGCCACTCATGATCCAGCAACTTCGAAAGCACATTGGATGGTTACGCACGCTCCAATCCTTCCACTGCAGTTTCAGGTAGCTCGGCAACCACCACGCCTGGCCTGCCAGAAACTACCGAAAAGCTTGGTATCACGGAGTTTGGTGCTATCACAGTCCCCTCCTCTATCCTTACGCAGTCCTTGATGATCGTGAACTTTCCCTAATCGCACTATTAGTCTTGGTAATCCAAATGATACCACCTAGAGGGGTAACTTACAATCACACAATCCTTGGAAATATGGACATAGCTTCCAATCAGCGCCGCCTCGACAACACTCCCTTCACCAACAAAAACGTGGTCTCCAATCTTCATCGGATAATAGCTGTAAATTCCCCGAGCAATCTTCCCCGGCGGCCGCAGCACGCTACTTCGTGACAAGAAGCAGTAACGGCCCACCGCAATCGCAACATTCCCGGATTGCTGACCTGGGGCGACTGTCCGGCGAAGATCACCGCGGATGGTACAATCGGCTTGAATTATGGTCTTACCACCGAGAATGATGTTTTGGGAGCCAAGGATTACGGACTTTCGGGAGACTTTGTTGCCAGTGTCCTATGGAGGGTTAGTTTAGGATTCCGGGGAGGTTGAAAAGTGACCACTGTATGACATACCGTCTCGATATACTCTCCTTTGGTCTGCTTTGGCGGCATGATCTATAGGCTGAGCTTAGGAACTTTAGTTTTGGGGATTGACTAGCTAGCTAAGGATTGATCCGGACAGACCTACTGTAATGTTAATTGGTAATTTATATTATTTTGACCCCAACAAATAACTGAACCCGATGCTGTAGAGACCTTGCAAGGTTTCGTCGATATCTGCGGACAGTACTTTACGCGTTGTTGTCCGCCAACGGTTTCTCATGCAGGCAAGCATCCATGCACAATGATTAAGCAGGGTAAGCAACACAACGCAGCGCCGTGTGTAACAACCCATATCCTGGCCTGCGGGGTGCTCTCGCAAAACAGCTTCTGAAAACGAAACATACTCATACCTTCGCCCCAAAACAGAAATTTTAACATCGTTCCTTCTCCTGGGAACTGTATTTTTCTCTCACGCAGCTTACACAATGCTTCCAGTACCTCTTTTCCAGCTACAATGCGGTTTGTTTAACCACTCTCTGGGGTAACATGAGGTTAGGTACATGGAGAGCTTGGTCAGCGAGAGCTAACGTCATAGGTGGGGTTTATTAAAGGCACCAACTCCTATGATTGGGGTGAGTCTACCAAAACTATGTTAACTCTACCGGATTCGATGCTAATGCTCAAAAGGTAAAATTGGAAATGATTCGGCTGCTGCCCGCTTTGCTGCTGCCACGACGCAGTCAGGCTTCAAGATTGAGGAATCCAAGCCATATGCTGAAGTATGAGCTCCATTCAAAAAGAATTTTGGGAGGGTATATCTAACAGTTTACGTAACAAGTAGCTCTGGATGGGAACTCATCCTTCAAACCCCTCGAAAGATGTGACGACTGGCCGCACACTCTTGGATCTTGTTACGGAGAATAAAGCTCTCCTCTCCACCTCCATCTCAGCAATCTATGGAGATAAACTTCCGTTTCTTTTCAAAGTTCTTTCGATCCAGAAAGCGCTCAGTATTCAGGCACACCCTGACAAGAAGCTTGCCGAAAGACTTCACAAGCAAGATCCCAAGAACTACCCTGGTAAGTTGTTATTTAGGATGATATTTTTAGGAGATTTTCAAAGCGAAAGAGGCCAATTGGAGGCCAATCCTTTGATTCTAGTCCTTTAGCCACTAGAAAATTAACTACGGACTTTACTAAACCGCTTCGATCAATTATAGATGATAACCACAAGCCTGAGATGGCAATCGCCGTCACTGCATTTGACGGTTTTTGCGGTTTCCGCCCTCTTGCAGAGATTTCCTCCTTCCTGCAATCTACTCCCGCGCTCCGCTCTCTTCTTTCTGAAGAAGTCTGTGATGCATTCACCTCTACCGTAGCATCTACATCTTCGGATGATGTTACCACCAACAAAGCCGCACTAAAAGAGCTCTTCTCAGCACTCATGAACACCCCCGAGTCTCGCATTGCCGAGTTTGCCCCAAAGCTTGTGGGTCAAGCCAAAGAGTGCCCGGGAAACTTTGGTGGAG